GGCAGGGGAGGGAGGCAGGGGAGGGAGGCAGGGCCGGCTTACCCTTCGGCCGGCCTCGTTGTTCTGCAGGTTCATGAGCACTCTGCCCTGCGCCTCCGACCCCTTGGCGAAGCTCTTCTCCCGCTCCCGGGCGTCCACGAACTCCTTGGCGAAGCGGTAGCCGTAGTCCACGTTGTCCCCGCAGCCGCCCCACAGCCAGTCGCGGGGCAGGTCCCGGGGCCGCGCGGCGCGGCTGCAGCCGCAGGTGGACAGCTCGCCCTCGCGGCAGGCGCGGCTGACCGCGTGGACCACGCCCGCGGCGCTCACGGCGTAGGCGAAGGCGGTCTCGCGGCTGCCTGCGGGGACAGGGACAGGTGGCCGCCCCGTCCCGCCTCCGCCCGGCTGTCCCGCAGCGCCGGGCCCAGACCCGCCTGGCTCCCGCTGCTGCCCCTGGCCCAGCTCCGCCCCGGGAGACCGCACGGAATAAAACGAATCACTCAGCCCCGCACGAATACCCCTGCAGAGGTCTACACGGCCGTGGATTCCCAGGGGGAGACGCCCGCGGCGGGGAGAGTGGGCACTGGGACACTCGCACAGCCCGGGAGGCAGGAGACGAGGGGACACCATGGGGTCAACCGCAGGACCGTCCCCGCACAAAAACCCCTCCCCACAAAAGAACCCCAACTTTGTCTCTTTTTGTTGCCGCCGTTATCTAACTAGACAGAGCAGAGACCAAGAGTCGAAAGTCGACTGGAGTGACAATGTCCAGAAGAATCCAAACTGTCTCCCTCTCTGTCCCGTAAGACGCACTCGGTCTCCTAAAGTCCAGAGCACCGGACCGCACCTGTGGTACCTGCAACTTAAGACGCTCAGATCACTCCCAGCAGAAAACCCCAGCTACGCTCCTCATCATCACTTTAGTGAGCCACGTGAAAACTCACGTGATGTATGTTCTACTTCAATAAGATGTCTGTAAAAAACGCTCAGCTACCAGGGAAATGCAAACCGGAATCCCCAGAAAATACCACTTCGCATCTACTGAGATGACTGTAATCAAAAAGGCAGGTAATAGCCAGGCGCAATGGCTCACACCGTAATCCCAGCTACTCGGGAGTCTGAGGAGGGAGGATCGCTTGAGGCCAGGAGTTCAAGACCAGCTGGGGCAACATAGTGAGGCCCTGTCTCTAAAAACACTTTTTTAAAATTAGCCAGGCGCGGTGGCATGCACCTGAGGTGGGAGGATCTTTAGAGCCCAGGAGTTGGAGGCTGCAGTGAGCTATGATGATGCCACTATGCTCCAGCCTAGGCAACAGAGTGAGACCGTGTCTTAAAAAAAAAAAAAAAGGTAACAGTAAGCTGGTGAAGATAGGGAAAAACTGGAACCTCCCTGTACTGTTGGCAGGAACGTTAAACAGTGTAGCTGCTTTGGAAAACAGTCTGGCAGTTCTTTGAAAGGTTACATATGGCTACCACATGACCCGGTAATTCCACTCCTAAAATAAGGCACACCTTCTTGTTTTGTTGCACTTCGCTTTATTGTGCTTTGCAGATATTGCTTTTTTTTTTTTTTACAAAATGAAGTTTGTGGCAAATCTCTGTGGAACATGTCCGCCAGTGCCATTTTTCCAACAGCACATGCTCACTTTGCGTCTGCGTCAGCATTTTTTAGCAATAAAGTATTTTTAATTAAGATACATGCGTTATTTTTTAGATATTATGCTATGGCACACTTTATAGACTATGGTATAATGTAACCATAACTTTTCTATGCACTGGGAAGCCAAAAGAAATCCACGTGACTAGCTTTATTGTGAGACTCGCTTTGTTGCTATGGTCTGGAACGGAGCCCACAGTATCTCTGAGATGTGCCCATATGCCCGACAGAAATGAAAACATGTCCGCACGAAAACTTACTCATGAGTGCTCACTGCAGCATTATTCATGACAGCCTAAAAGTGGAAACAACAATCCATCAGTGGATGAACGGATAAATAAAACGTGGCATTATCCACACAAGGGAATATTATTCACCACACACAGTGCTGACACACGCCGCAACACGGATGGGCCTTCAAATCACCGTGCTACGTAAAAGGAGCCGGTCACCAAGGCCACGTATTGTATGACCTCACTTATATGAAATGTCAGTATAGGCAAATCCCCAGGGTTGGAGCTTGGGGGATGGAGTGAGACAGCTAATGGGTGTGCCATTTCTCTATGGGGCGGTGATGAGAATGTTCTGGAATTAAATAGTGGTGATGGTTGCCCAAACCTGTGAGTATACTAAAAGCCACTGAATTGCACACTTTAAAATGCTGAATTGTATGGTATGTGAATTAGATACGTCAAAAAAGCTGTTATAAGAAATAATGAATAATACCCATAAGGACTCAGATATGGAGAGAAGAGAGTGGTTCTTGGCAGGAAACAGATTCAATCCTCATCTCAGAGATCAAACCAGGCAGAACCTTCCGCCCTCTATTTCCTCCTCTGTCGAGTCTCCCGGGGGGTCAGAGGTAGACACCCCACGGTCCTGTCCTGGCAGTGGAGAGAGAAGCAGTCTGCAGGCCATTACAGGTCTAGAGTGACCTCCCGCCTTGCCCTGCCTCTTGACTGTCTGGCACAGCACAGGGCGATTTGCAGCCAGAGCACACCGGGTGAGTCAGTTTTCTCAATTAACCAGTGGTCGGCTTCTGGTCAGTTGTGAAACAGGAACAGCCCAAGAAAAACCAGAAAGATGGCAGGAAGTTACACTGGTGATGCAGCCAACAGCACTGACATTCGTGTCCGCGCTGAACCACACCAGAGCCAAGGACCCGGCCTAGGGCAGGGAGGCTGCCACGGTGAGCACCGGATGGTGAGCCCCATCCGGCCACGCGGGCCCTCAGGGAGGAGCGCTGGGCCACACTTGGAGGAACTGACCTTTCTAAAACGGAGCCTCCACCCCGACGTGGGAAGGGGACGGAGCCAGGCTGCACTCCCGGGAGCATTCCTTTCCGGGCACCCTCAGAGAAGCAGCTAGGTTTTCAAGGCAACACATTCCATCTTTTTAAAATGACTCTAATCACCGGAATGTTCTTTCTCAGATGAAGCTGAAATATGCCCCCCGTAGCTCCCTCCCTGCTGCGGCTGGGCAGCGATCCCTTCTCCACTTGAAGGCTCTTCAGGGTTTGAAAACAACTAGGAAGCCTTTTACATCTTCTCCTTTCCTAGCTACATATGTCTGATTTCTTTCCACCGTGCTTTAGCAAACATGCTTTTCAGAGTTGAACCAGCCCTCTCAGAATTGCCTTTTAAAATAATGTGCCTACAGCTAAATGCAGTACACCAGATGTTGCGTACTCTGGTTTGGGACCCGGATCTGTCCCCAGGTGCGTTAGCTGTCTCTGGCAGCCACTCCGCCTGCCTCTTCTGGCCAGGGCTGCATTAGACGCCTAGCGTGGGTAGCTCTGCCGTCACGGGGCAGCGTTTGGACCCTCTAGTAGTGAGCCTGTGAGTGGAAATACTACTGCTAGACCCAGCAAGAAAGACATGCCTCAGGCTTCACGATGGGTGAGCAACGCAGAGGCTTATCTGTGTGCACAACAGTCCAGAGTTGAAGCTCAAACCATCCCAAGGACAAAAGGCTAATAAACCAGCAGCCACGGAGCTACTTGGGAGGCTTGTGTCTTCGCCCTACAAGGAGACATCATGCCCTCTCTATTCCATAGTAGCCCAACTACCAGGAAGGTGTCTCTGCTCCCTAGGCAGAGGCTGGGTGACACGCCCAAGGCCCCTCTGAGCTGCTCTGCTGCCCTCTGGTGACAGACTTTGCAGCAGCTTCCAAGAAGAAAGGAAGCTTTGGAAGTCAGACCTAAGAGTACCATGGCGGGGCGCGGTGGCTCACACCTGTAGCCCCAGCCCTCTGGGAGGCAAAGGCAGGAGGATCAAGAGTTCGAGACCAGCCTGAGCAAGAGCGAGCGAGCCCCATCTCTGCTAAAAATAGAAACAATTAGCCAGGCACAGTGCAAGTGCCTTTAGTCCCAGCTACTAGGGAGGCTGAAGGAGGAGGATCCCTGGAGCCCAGGAACAGCACTCTAGCTGGGGAGACAGAGCAAGACCCTGTCTCAAAAAAAAAAAACAAAACAGTAAGAGGATTTGCCAGGAGCTACTCAGGGCCCAGAGGGCCGAAGGGAGGACAGCTGCCCAGGTAGCATAAGCCCCTCAGGAAAGCTACAAAAAGGACTGGGGAAAATGAGGCAAACAGAAGGGTTTCATTCTGGCCCAGAATGGGGTGCAGAGAGGTCTGCATCTCTTTGATGGGCCTGCTTTGATGAGTCATTCCACTATGCAATCTGCTCCCAGAAGAGTTTCTAGTCCTGCCAACCCCTCTCTTTCCTAAAGTAAAGCCTCACTCACACAAACTGCCACATGAAAAGGATCTAGCCAATGTCCGGCATACGTTAGATCCTCCATGGGGTGATGAGAGGGTGTCTCTCATCCACACCTGGGTCATCCTAGTTTCCTCACCCAAAACACGGGGCAGGGAGTGCTGCTGACCGAGACTTTCTGCAGGAGGAAGGGACAAATACCAATGGATTCCAGAAGAGTCAATACATTGTGAATAAATCCTAGTAAGCCCCCAAGTCCACTCTTTGGGGGAAGGTGCCCCCAAGGCTGTCGCAGGAACACACGAGCATCGCTTCTACGTACCTTGTGCTGATACCGAAGAAGCAAGAGCGCATCAAGGTTCAAAGTGTGCTTCCCCCCAGCTTTACCTCTCAATATGGGCAGAGGAGGTAGGGAAAGAGGTCTGGAGTAAGTGGGAGCGGGGAGAAAGGCAAAGCCCCAAATCTCTAACTCCCCTACTCCCCTGCCGGGCTAAAGGAATTCTTTGGGAAAACCCCAGCCTCAGGTAACTCCAGGGGAACTGTTCTGGGAGACAGGACCAATACAGTGTTCTAACACCTTTCTTTTATGGCCCTGGGGATAAGACCCAGTAGAATAGGGCCGGATTTCTCAATTTCTTGCCAGGGAGCGCAGGATTGCATTTCAAAAGGACCTACAACAATTAGACCTAAGATCACACCTCCATCTAAGCAATAGGGCAGCCAAAGAATCCCAGGCCAGCTTGGGAGAGGGGAAGGAACAGGAATCCAGGGAGATGGGAGCTCTCCCTCTCATCTTTGTCTTTAGTCTGACCCCTCCCCCCTTCACACGCATCCCCTTTCAAATGAAAGAGCCGGGGCTGGGTCTGGCCGGATTACTGACAGCTATCGCCAGCTTGGCCCAACGTTTCCATCTCTGTTTCAAGGGTCCAAGTAGAAGAGGCAAAAATCCTACAGACATTCAGGGCTGCAAGTGTTGGTTCCCCACCCCAGGCTGTAAAACAAAAAACAAACAAACAAACCCCCGCCAACCAAAGGAAAAACCCTGAACAGGAGGTGCTAGTTGCGCAGAGAGACAAAGGCTGTGGTGGTGGGCGGGTCTCCTAATCCTCTCTAACTCAACTCAGATGTCCTGCCCCCACCCAGAAAGAGTCACTAGCAGCCCGCCGCAGGGCGAGGCCGAAGGAACACTCAGACGTGCAGTTCGAGTGTTCTCCCGGACTCCGCCCCCGCGTGCCTCTCTCCTGCTTGCATGCTGCTGCTGAGCCAGACGAGCGCAGTTCCCGTGGCCAGGCCCCACTGCCCTGGCCTCTTACCTATCTGCATGACTCTGCCGAAGACAGAGGTGTTGTCCACGGTGCTGCAGTTCCACCGCCTCTGCCGGAACTGGTACTGGCACTCCTTGATGCCCGTCTTGGCTCCCTCCCCTATGTAGGCCATGTGCTCCTGGTACAACTGGCACAGCTTTCTCTGGCCAGGGGAGAGCCCAGGAAGCTGACTGCACACAGGCTGGGCACCGATGATGAACATCTCGGGTCTCTGCACCGGGTTCATGGCTAAGGACCTAGACAGCAATGCAGAAAGGGGGAAAGAGGCCGGGGGTGAGGGCGGGCATTACCTCATTCACCCAGCGCGAGCCTGGGTGCAAGGCCCTGGACCTGTAAGGGCTTGGAAAGAAAAATTCGTAAAACAGAGCGCCTCCTTCAAAGGACAAACTGAGGGACGCTGAGACATGACCGCAAGTGACACGTGAGATGCCAGCTACCCAGGGCAGACTGGCGCTTCTGGATCCATGCAGACCCGACAGGGAGCTCTTACAGCTGAGGAGAAGCCTTTATAAGGGGGTGGCCAGAATTTGACCAGGTCTTAAGGATGGGCGCAGGCAGAGGAGATGGGGGCAGGGCAGGCGGCCAAGAGGGCCAAAGCTCAGCAGGAGAGCACTGCCCTACTCAAGGAGTAGGAGAGATCAGTTCAGTTTGGCCCAAGGACCGGATATGTGCTGGAAAGCAATGGCCCCTTTAAGTGGAACCCCCCTCAAGCCTTAAAACAGGGCCCAGTTTACATACATCACAACACAGTCTACATGTTTCCACTTCCACGGCTCCCCTGCCGCGCCCCGCATCAGTTTGGGGGTCTCCCTTTTGCCCATCATCTACCAGCCACATACAGTGTGAAGTCCGATGAGAAGGCTGTGGATTTACCCTCTAAGTAAAAATGTGAGCGGGGCAGGGACCAGGCAAGATTGGTGGCGACCGCCTGCCATTTCCATTGACCTAGCGGTGACAATAGCCTTAAAGATACAAGAAGAAAGCCAGACACGGTCCTGCAAATCCCTC